GTCACATCTGTTTTGATCTGTAGTGACGAGGCCCATTTTCACGTGTCCGGGACTGTAAATAAACAAAATTTCCGCTACTGGGTTGAGAATAACCCTCGGAACCTTCACCAACGACCACTCCACAGCTCTCGAATGACAGTGTGGTGCGCTGTTTCCGATTGTGGTGTCTGGGGTCCCTACTTCTTTGAAGAAGACGGTGACGTTACGGTGACTTCTGCTCGATATTGTTACATGCTTGAAAATTTTCTTCTACCGAAACTGGATGAATTATTGCAAGATCATGACTTGGAAGATATCTGGTTCGAACAATATGGTGCTACGGCCCACACCTCGCGTCGTTGAATGGAGATTGTAAGACAAATGTTTCCTGGTCATCTTGTCTATTTGCGGGGTGACATCGGGTGGCCTCCCATATCGCCTGATCTAACACCACGCGATTTTTTTCTGTGGGGATACCTCAAGGCAAAGGTGTACACACATCATCCCCGACCTATCGATGAACTGAAGGCTGCCATCACGGAAGAAATCAACGCTATTCCACGGAATATGACTCATAGTCATGTAAAACTTCCGAAACAGGCTCCGTCAGTTTATGGAAAACGGAGGTGGCCATTTGGAAGATATTATTTTTAAACCCCATTAAAATAAAACTGCATTCTATGTCCTTTCAAATAATAAAATAATTTTGCCTGCATCTTTCTTTATTTCTATTCCACGCATTTTTGAAATCGGAAAGGTTTATATGCCCCATTCTGTATAACAAACATAGTGTTATAATCCAGAATAATGTACTCATCTTTTTCAATTTAATTCTACCTACAGATTTAAATAATATATTACAAGAAAACCATTCATCATACCTGGTCGTAAACTCACAGAAGTTGCCCCGACCCAGAAGACGTACTTTAGCAAATATGAAGCCAGTCACATATGGAACAGCAGCTAACTCCTCCAAATATAACTCAACTTGGAACTTATAATTCTTTTGGTTCACCATAAACATCATGTTTCAGTCAACTGTCAAAGAGATTGACATGTACTGGTCCTAGTATTTATTTCACTTAATCTAAGTGTCCAATTCTGGCACGAAAATCGTTGTTAAAATGCACCTACAATTATAAGAACACATAATCTTTTAAATTTAAATAACAATTTGCGGGCAAAACCATAATCTTTTCTTAAAATCACACTCCACTGTTGATTTATTTTAATAACTAAAGGTTTCTGCACACGAAATTATACGCATTTCCTCATATGCTCAGTGTCACTTAACACAATAAAGTACTGTTGCGGTTCCATGCTCTGAATGAAATACACACAAACACAACTAATTTCGACAGATGAATTCAAATATATGTATGTTTAAATTACTGGAATATCCACAAAGGTTAGTAAACAATATGTGCAAAACCACATGTCAGAAATGATAAGGTCGAGCATTCTGAAGAAATGCGTTACCAGTAACGAATCTGAAGACTATAAAATAAATTAACAATTTTTAAATTAGCTTCCATCGGCAAATATTAAACCACTGGAACTCATTTATTTCATTACCACTTTCACTTTCTTTCACGCACATATATCATACTCTTTACCAAATTCTAACGACAATCTCCATTGCACTTGCCACTGTTCATTAACCAACATGCACTGCCACTGGTTCATACACCACAGTACATCCCGTAGATCAAAGATGACTATAATTGACTATGATCACTGTGATGACCGTGATGACCAACCGACAGGTAAGAAAAGATACGTCCCAGCAAGAATACTTAAGCCATTTAAGGACGATCAAGGCAGCTACAACAAACAGACCAAACAAAATCTTAAGTAACATTCCATATACAACAACTGAGGATACATATATACTTTGAGAAAGCTTTAACGTAGTGCATCACACATTACAGAAAACCACGTGCAGCCAAAAATAACCTGAGGCTACTACAATAGAAAAATCCTTCAAAGAATGCAGTCTGTTGTGTCAGCCTACACAGCACAACAACTTTCAGAATCTCGTTCACATCTACTGTGTATAGCAAGATTCTGAGAGTTGTGTTGTGACAGATAAACAAACAGTAGTATAGTAGCAGTGTCCTTGTCAACACCTGTACACCTAAAGATGGCCAGGCCGAAGATTGTAGTGAGTGAAATAGTTTCCAATAAAGGAACAATCAACGACGCTGCATCTAGATAGCGAGAAAACTCCTAAGTCAGATCTCAGTCTGCTTTCACTAGTCTTCATAACACCTCTCAACAATGTTTTAGCTCTTCTGTTCCTGGCAACGGATGTTAACGTAGTAACTAGAAGTCTCACAAAATTACACACTCCAAATATCCCTGTAACTACGTTACACGTGTTTGAAATTAAAATTGTAGATCTTAATGAAATTTTATCGCATGTCCCAATTTTTATGTGCCCTGTCTGCAGTTGAGATATTGAATTTGAATATATTGGCCCAATATGAATCTCATTTAAATTCGATAGCTTTTAGTGTGTAGGCCCCAAAGGAAATTTGTGCAAAATCACTTGAATTCTCTTAGGGATAACGTTATCTGATGGACATAAAAACATTTTCATTTGTTATTTTCTCACTTGCTGCAAATAATTTATAGAATTTGAAAAGCTTATAGATATAAAATAGTTTGTAGATATAATATTTTGCGTTTTGTTGTTGTATAATATCATCTTTAATGAGGGTGATGATTAAATAATAGATGGCTGTATTAAAGGGAACGTGAGTTCATGTGAGTTCATGGTGAATTTGAATATTGTAGTTTCATATGATCATAAAATGATAATGATACGTTGTTTGGAAGATGATGAAATTGAAAGGCAACTGAAGTGCAGGATATGTGACGGACTATGAATTTCGGGTGCTTCAAGAAGTACTATACAAAAGCGAGATTTAGTTACATGATGCATGGGGTGAACGCTGTATATATATATCAAACAGATAACTACAAAAAAGGTATGTACATTGAATTTTACTTTATTAAAACTAAATATATAGGATTGGGCATTTGCTTCTACTAGTGGAGTGTGCGTTTGCTTCCGCTAGCGGAGTTTAAATGCCCGACTGCACAAATCGGTGTACTTCGGCCGCTTCGACCATACTCATCACTAGGGCTCGGATTTCTATGACCTAAAAACTTTGAAAATATGCATGCATTTATGCCCTAAAAATGGCAGAATATGACCTAAAATATGATAGAATGGCCCACAAAAAATAAGTAAATATTTAACAAACCAAACTCTTTAATAAAATCACGCAACTTCACGCTATTAGAGCACTTGACTTTAGGCATCTTGAAACTATACTGAACAACTGAACTTATGAATACAGTACTGTATTTGACGGGTTTCGGGGAGAGGGTAGAAATTTACCGCTTTGTGGATGGAAAATTTTTTTACCAATATGCAAGAAACAAATTGGACTTCAGGTATCACTGCAGTGGAAGAGAAAAAAGAGACACAGACAGACAGACAGACAGACAGACAGAGGCAGAGGTGGCAGTTTCACTTTTCAAAGTGGTTGATTCTTCGCCAGGTCAAGAACCGTTACCCTTCACACTGTACAGAATTCCTTCAAATCCCGTTACACAAGGCCAAATATTTCTAAGAAATGAAGTTCCAAATAACATCGTTGCCAGCACTTGCAAATATATTTCTGAGCAATAAGTGAAACTCGCCTAAAATATGACCAAAAATATTATTTTATCACTTCGGGCCCAAATATGACCTAAAGCTAAAATATGGTTCAAATATGCATTTATATGACCAATAAAACCCGTATTTTCATGTTCACAAGAGTCAGAAATGCGTTTATATTAAATTATACATGTGAAAAGATGCCAGGATAAAAATATGACATGTCATAGAAATCCGAGCCCTACTCATCACTGTACCGATCGGTGTACTTCAGACGTTAAAGGTTAATGGTCTATCTGATGATGATCGCTAGATTATATACATAAATAATATTAACTTACAAACACATCAGTTGTACACAATTAGTAAGGAAATATAGTTAAGTCCTCTATGAATGAGTTTTTGATTCGATTAACTTATGAGATTTGGAACAATATTTTCATTCAGAGATACTGGGTTTTCGGATTTAATCCGTCGTCCTGGTTTTAAGATAACCAAGAAAAACACTACGTTTCGGAAACTGGATCTGTTTCCGTCCTCAGGTGAGGGAAGACACCAATTCTATTGGGTTCCTTGGAAGGAGCTAGCCTCAGTCACTGGACAACCGATGTTGACAACATCGGTTATCATTTTTATCAACTTTTGAAAATAATATCAGTAATGATATAGGTCCGCAGTTAGTCATATTAGTTTTATCTCCGTTTTTAAATAGTGACTTTATTTCTGAAAATTTCAACCAAGTTAGGAAGACACCAGTTGAAAGAGATCTGTTACAAATATAAGTTAATGGGGAGCTAATGAAACAAGTGCTGATTTTTAAAATTCTAACTGGATTTCGTCATACCCATTAGATTTTTTGGGGGGGGGGTTTTAAAGACTTAATTATATTTTCACTTTCTTTAGTAGAGGTATGGTTGAGTTCAAATTTTGGGAAGGGAATCATGAAAGCTTGAGACAGATATTTGAATATTTGTCAGTATCCGACTCTATAATGTGGCCATTTGCATTACTGGTATTGATCTTGTCAGCTACAGCTAGAAAATAATTATTTAAAGAGTCTGTAATCATATGACGATTATCAGTTAATTTTCCACCAGTGTTTAAAAGCTGTATACCTGCATTATTAATTTTTCTACCTGTGACTGATTTTATAATGCCCCAGGTGGTTTTCATCTTGTTACTAGAATTACAGATTAATCTATTATAACGAACATTTTTAGCTGCTTTAATAACATCTGCAAAAATTTTTCAGTGTTTTATTATATTTTGGATCTGGATCATAATTATTCTTAAGGGTTAAATAGACCTCTCTTTTGTGCTGACATGAAATTTTTATACCACCTGCCATCCAAGGATTATTTTTAGATTTAATCTTAACTTGTTTTTTGGAAAGTTGGAGTAAAATAATTAAGTAGTTACTATAGGATTCTGACAATGGTGTATAACACACAGAGATATTGGGTTTTCGGACCTTATCCATCGTCCTGGTTTTAAGATAACTAAGAAAAACACGACGTTTCGGAAACTGGATCTGTTTCCATCCTCAGGTGAGGGAAAACACCTATTCTGTTGGGTCCCTTAGAAAGAGCTAGCCTCAATCACTGGACAACCGATGTTGTCAACATATATATTGTAACGGGTTTCGTTACAGAATACGCCGTAGAGATCGTTAATTGGTTTATTGAACAATCTACAAGTAACAGCTACAATTACTTATCACAATGTTACATGTTTCCACAGTTTACAAACCCTACAACAAAATCTCTTCACACTATCTTGAAGAGTCTTCGCGTATTAATAACGCGGGAGCTACACAAGTCTCCCTGAATTACACACTTTCACTCGTAACACGCCGCTGACTAGTAGGCTTGCTCGGAACTAACTCGGAGGTAGCTCCAGGACTGACTGTGAATAGCCTTCGCTGCTCCTTATGTAGCCTCGATCGGACAATACAGAAAACGGCCACGTAATAGACACCACTATGTCTGGTGCCATCGTGCTAGCAACGCTGTGTACCGCTGTTACTACCGTCGTCTCTCGCAATCGCTGTTTACCCGCGCTGCCTAGCAACCGCGATAACCCTTGGTGACGTCACCGCTGTTGACTCGCGTTGCAAAGCTACCAGGTTGCGGGGACTCGGCTAACTTCTGCTCCGCTCGGCTCATCACGACTGGCGGAGGGGAGACGTCATCCATAGCTCAACATGTCACAATATATTGCATATTTGCTATAGTAACAATCAGATTGCTAAATCTACTAATACCAATTTTTTTGGATTAATTATCGACAGTATGTTGACATGGAAAGGACATATCGACTGGATTATGTCTAAATTAGGTTTGGGCTGTTATGCAATCAGGGCTATTAAACCATATATATCGCAGGAAACAATAATAATGATTTATTTCTCATATTTTCATTCTGTTATGACCTATGGTACTCGTATAATTTTCTGGGGCAATTTTCCCCATATCACATTTTTAGGCTACAGAAAAGGGTAATTAGAATTAATGCTAACTCTAGAAGTAGAGACTCTTGCAGGAATTGTTTAAGAAAATGAAAATTTTCCCCTTCCAATCACAGTACATATTTTCTCTCTTACTATTTATGATTAAAAATAAGGAACAATTTAAATGTAACTCTTGAAATTCAGGGCATCAACACAAGACACAATAACAATTTCCATTATCCAGTATGTAATTTCACAATATTTAAATAAGGAACATTATTTTGAAATCATAGTTCTTAATAATCTTCCTCCTAGCATAAAGAACTTAGCTCATAATACGAAGCAATTTAGATTTGCTCTAAAAAGATTTCTAATTCATTTTACTCATTGGAGGAATGTTTTCACTTTGTTATGCTGCGGGATTACGGCAAGAAATTGTATTTTTAATGTTACTATGTTTTCTTTAGGGTTAACAGGTTTAGGGAATTGAACTAGGGAAGTTTTGAAAACCTGGGTAAGAAAGGTTCAGTGAACGTAGGAATTTCCCGCGTTGCGCCACACTGCTGACCAACGCGGAAATAGTCACGCAGAAAGGAGAGTTAGGTAGTAAGTTGCTGAATCGAGGAAAGCGGGTAAACTGGGAGACGCAACCCCCTTCCAGCAACCAGCCAATAGAAGATCGCCACCCTGACAGACAATTACGTCAGGCAGGGAGGAGCGAACCCCGGGAAGCTGATGAGTTAGCAGGGAAAAGACTATAAAATGGCTAGGAGAAACTATAGCAGAATTTTTTCGACCAATAATTTGAGTAGAGTGCTGCCGGAGGCTATCGCCAAAATGGCGTTAAAAGTGTGTTGGCTGGGAACAATCTTCTGCATCCTGAACTCAAGTAAGTGGACCTACCAATTATAGCCGTGAATTTAAGGAGATATTATTAAAATGCGAACACCCTAGGCTATAACGAAGAATGTAGGGCACGGGTAGGATGAAGGAGAAATAACCTGTGAGTGCCAGGTACAGGAACCCGCAGTCGGGTGAGAAAGGTTAAGGATGTTGGATCCCAGTATTTATTCATTTACCTACATGCGTTATCTATGGTTACCAAACAGAGTGAGTGTGAAATGTATATATATATGTACATAACGACAGTGGGAAAAATAGAAAGTAGTAG